TACTGACTGAGCCTTGGCCCCACCTCCATCCCTTCAAGGAGAGGAAAATTGGTTCCTTGTCTCCCAGCTTTTTGGGGGCACCTCACCATGATCCAATTCCCATGCCTGTAACATGGATCATTAGCATCCTCCCGTTCTTTCCCCGAAGTTAGCATACGGTGCATCTTATTCTCTACCGTTTTCTTCTCCCACTTAGTATATCCTGCAGAGCTTTCCCTCCAGCATACAGACTGTCATCACTCACACAGTTTCCCCCATTGCCTGTCACCGGGAACATGTGTGCCCTAATGTACTGACCTGTTCCCTACAGAAGGAAAGTCTGTTGTTACCAGACTTACTGTTACAGACAGCACCACAGTGATTCAGCACACAGATCCCTCACCCCCCATCATGTGTTTGAAGAGAGATCTTTGGGGCAAACCTTAGATGCTGGAACAATGATCAGGTGAAGGTATTGGTGTTTTTTTTAGGTTTCCCATAGCAGCCTCCTTCCTTCTGCATGCTCATCATTGAGCTGGGACAATCCCCCCATATGGGAGGGAGTTGAAGCCTCAGACATTGAGAAACCCACCTGATAGAGAAATTTGGTATCTCATGGGCTTCCTTTGCCTAAGCCATAGAAGTTTTTAGGGTTACAGTAGTGAAATAGGAATGGGTCCCCTGGCCACACATCTGTATATGTGAGTGCCCCATAGCTCTCTGACGGTTTATACAACGGTGGACGCTATCCTTGTGGAGATTTAGGGATTTTAGGTGGGAGCTGGGGTTAGACTCTTCACACATCATTATGTGTTCCATTGTAGTTGAAAAGAGGAAGCATCAGGTAAGCCTTTTGCCAGGGATCCTGAGCTTGATGTAGTTGTGACCTTTGTACTGGGCCACATGGTCACAGTGCCTCTAAATGTCACAGTGGGTCCTCTAGGAAGAAGTTTGAATAAGAAGTCCATGGAGCTCCCTGGGGTGACCTTTTTGGGGAACCCTCAGTATGGGTTATGTATAGGAAGCCACCTATCAGCAATGCCACCAAATGCTGCGGGAGAGACCCAGAATTCAGGGCAGGGTGGTGATGAGTACCAACCATTTGAGGGGATTCTGTCTGGGGACGTTTTCAGACGTGCCCATGAACTTCCTTATGCCCTCAGTCACATTTGAAAGAGTAGGGCCATGTGTCATCACTGTGTCCCCCACTCAGCTAGCTGCCACTAGGCACCAGGAAGCAATCCATGTAGCAGTGAGAAAGAAGGCCAGAGGTGGGAAGAGGATTCAGGGTCTGTACCTCATCTTCACTGTGCTCACAGTTCTGAGTGAATGCTTTAAAAACCCTGGGAGGGTCCCAGAGGTTGTTTTGGTTTAGACTGCTGCCATCCAGGTCAAATTCCCAATATTTGGTCAATGCCAGGGCTGCCTCCTGGTTGAGAACCAGCTGGTAGCTCTGGGCAATGGCATGCAAGTATGCCCACCAAGACACACAGACACAGACCTCTAGGACAGAAGCTATGACATGTGCACTCCCTGGTGTAGCTCCTCTTCTATTCCCTGGCCTCCACAGGTCTCCTCACCTGCCCCATGTGACAACTAGTTTCTTCTGCCATCATGGAGTGGATCTGCTGGCCATAGTTGCTCTTGTGTTCCCAGAGGTGAAATCTGACTGCAGTGGGGGCAGCTGTGTACTCCTGGGAGTACGTTCTGCTCAGGTATCAAGTTGACCAGGTGGTGTCTCAGGTTCCCAGGATTAGTGCTCTGCAGTGTTTGGAAGCTTTTCTCAGTGCCTTGAGGCAGTGGGACGAAGGACGGTGAGAATCAAGTGTTGGTACAGAAATGTCCTCCTTCTGTCTTGGCATCTCCAATCTAGACCACATCCATGACCAGCTAACTGTCAGGAAGAAATGGTGCTGGGGCAGGCAGCAATATGCGCCAGAGGCCAAGAAAACACACACACACACACACACACACACACACACACACACACTGAATCTAGAGGATGTCTCATGGGTCATTCCTGGGACTGTAGCAGTTTCAGTGTGACCCTAGCGTATTCTTTGAAAGCTGTGCTCTATTCTTTTTGCTGTGGTTTTTAACCTTGAAAGAGGGACAGGCTGTGGAGAGGAAGGCCTCAGGACTTGTGTACTCTAGACAGAAGGCCAAGTAGGGCTGAGTGGGTGGCAGCCAGGTGTATTGTCTTAGGGGACTTGTTCTGTTTTGGACTGTGAATGTCAAGCATCACAGTCCATTCCTCTGTGGTGGCATCATTTAACTACAAGCATACTGTAAGACAGCATCACACCAATCACTGGTATTTCTTTCCCTCCATGACACTTTTCCCTCCCTTCTACCTCTACACCATCTACCCAACCCCAAGGAGGGAAGATGCACAACTCACCTCAAGAGTAATCTTAGGGTACCATTTCCTGCCACTGTTTTTCATGTTTCTTTTCGTGTGGAAGAAGACTGAACAAATACTCTTGATCTTATTACAAACAATCTTTACCCCTGTCTCATGTAGAATGATGTTATTGGTGGCTAGCAGATGAATGACTGGGAAGCTTTGGCCTCAAGTCCTACCTGCTACATCCAAGTCAACATGGTAATATACTAGGCGTGTGATTATGTTGCCATGTAGAGAGAGTTTGGTGACATAAACTCATATATCCTGGCCCCATCTCCCCACTTGAATAGAAGATGAAGTCCCAGATGTGATTGTAGCTGTACACTGCTGAGGTTGTTCAGAGCACCAGCACATATCCTTTGAGTCTCATGTATTATTTGAAGCTGCTTTAAGTTGGAATTAAAATGATTTGGAAGGGAAACCCCTATTTGCATCTGATAAAGATCCTGTAGCTAGTGGATGAGCCAGCAGTGTCATCATATGGGACAACATCCAGGAATGGACAGCTGTGTTGGGACAGTTGATTCCATGGGCTAACTCATGAGTGACACTGCCCAGATCCCTGCCTGCATCCATGCTCTTGGTCTGCATACCTGCAGGTATGTGTCCTCCATAGAATGCCTGAATGTTGCCCACAGACCCTGTTGGTACCTGAAATGTGCATTCAGGATCTGTATTTTGGAAGAGGTTCACAGCTGGAAGGAGAAGCTCCAGCCTCCTTAGAACAGTGTTGTCCTCTAGGCTGTAGTAGGGAAAGTGAGACTGGGCAATGTGTGTCAGCCATGCTGACGGATGTGGGAAAAGTCCCTGGAGGATTTGGAGAAGAGTGGTGACTGCTCTGTGTTCTTGGGTCAAAGAGGATCTCTCTCTCTCTCTCCCTCCCTCCCTCCCTCTCTCTCTCTCTCTCTCTCTCTCTCTCTCTCTCGTTCCTCTGTCTCTCTCTCTTAGTTTCTAGAGTCTTTTTAAAATGTTTCTTATTTGCACCAATCAACATGTTTTCTTCATCTTATTCCCTTAGTTATAAATAGTAAGTAACGTAAGGACTGGACCTTGGCCAGTTTATGTCCCTTTGTGTCTCTCTATGGATATAGCCACAGTGTAGGATTCATAGTAGATGCTCAATAAAACTCTCACAGATTTTTGGGACCTTTGAGATGAGTTGGGGGTAAAAGTGTTTGCATTGCCAGTCCGATTTTTTGAGTTCAAACCCTGGGACTCACAGTGGAAGTAAGAGAATTGACTTACCCAAATTGTCATTTGACCTCCATATGTATGCAGCACACACACAAATAAAAATAACAAATAAAATAAACCCTCTTGACTGCCTTAAAATACTTCAAAATTTTTTTATGAAGCAAATCCATTTGAGACTTAACTTTCAACTTCTTTCCAAAACATGAATGCCTTTATATACTTTATAGTCCAGTTTTATAGCACGAAATACCCGAATTAAAGAACTCGAGAGATCTCAAGTTAATAATTTAATGATACACTTGAAAACTCCAAGGAAACTTAAACAGGAGATGGGAAGAGGTAATAAAAATAAGGGCTGAAATGAGTGAAATATGAAAAAAAAAAACAAAGAGTTGGTTTTTTGAAAATACTAACAAGATTTTCAAACCTTTATAAAATTAACTAGAAGGAACAGAGAAATGATCCAAATAAATAAAGTTAGAGATGAAAAGTAAGACAATACAACAGGCACCAAGGAAATTCAGAGCATGGTAAAGGCATACTTAAAAAAAAAAAAAAACTACATTCCATCACACTAGAAAATCTAAAAGCAATGGATGCATTTCTAGATATGGGCTAGAAAAACTAAATCAAGATGAAATAAATAATTCAAACATGCCCATAACATCCAATGAGAGAAGCAGTAATTAAAAATCTCAACAAAAAAAAAAAAAAAAAAAAAAAAAAAAACCCAAGGATAAGATGGAGTCAGTACTGAATTTTAACGTCAGTACTCCTCAAGTTACTTCATAACAAAGGAACCCTTTGAAATTCTTCTTATAAGCCAGTATTACTATGACACCAGCACCAGACAAAGACGCAACCAAAACAATTGTAGACGGATACTTCTGATGAACACAGACACAGAATTTCTCAATAAAATATTGAATTCAAGAACACACTCAAAGAATTTGTTTTTTTTTTAATTTATTTTACATACAGATCCTCAGTTTCCCCTCCCTCCCCTCCTCCCACTCGCTCAAAACCTACCTCCCCACCCCCTTTCCACTCCTCAGAGGAGGTAAGGCCTTCCTTGGGGAGTCAACTAAGCCTGGCAAATGGAGTTGAGGCAGGATTAAGTCCCGCCCCCCCCCATCAAGGTTGAGCAAGGTATCCCACCATAGGGAATGGGCTCCAAAAAGCCAGTGCATGAACCAGGCCCATTGTCAGGGGTCCCACAAGCAGACCAAACCTCACAATTGTCACCCACATTCAGGGGGCCTAGTTTGGTCCCATGCAGGCTCCTCAGCTGTCAGTCCAGAGTCCACGAGCTCCCACTAGCTCTGTTCAGCTGTCTCTGTGGGTTTCCCTATCATGATCTTACTCCCCACCCCTGCTCATGTAATCCCTTCTCCCTTTCTTCTACTGTATTCCAGGAGCTCAGCCAAGTGCTTGACTGGATCTCTGCATCTGCTTCCATCAGTTACTGGATGAAGGTTCTATGATGACAATTAGGGTAGTCACTACTCTAATTATAGGAGAAGGCCAGTTCAGGCACCCTCTCTCCTATTGCTATGAGTCTTAACTGGGGTCATCCTTGTGGATTCCTGGGAATTTCCCTAGTGCCAGGTTCCTTTCCAACCCCACAATGGCTTCCTCTATCAAGAGGTCTCTTTCATTCTCTCCCCGTCTGTCCCTCCCCCAACCTGACCATCCTGTTCCCTCATGTTCTCATTGACCATCTGAAAAATTGCTTTCTTAAATGGGTTAGCCTGGAAGTGAGGGTACTTGAGGGAACTATCATGGCCTCAGGTTCTGGTGCTTATGAGTGAGTTATTGTATCCTATAGCACTTATCAGTACTGAAGAAAAATGGCTGTCTCAGTATACATTGCCATTGTACAGGAACCAGCCCAGTGCGTGCGTGCGTGCGTGCGTGTGTGTGTGTGTGTGTGTGTGTGTGTGTGTGTGTGTGTGTGAGATCAGGTTAATAAAGTGAAACTCAGAGAAGGACTTACAGGGCCTGTCCTTGATCCCCAAAGTATTCATCTGATTGTCCAGTACCACTTTTGATCTCTGGCTGCATTTCTCTCTCTGGAAGATGAGGTGAGGTCTTGGGTCCAGAGCCCTGGCTCACACTTTGGGTCCCTGAGAAGGTGGAAGGACTCTGAGAGGTCTTTGCTGTCCAGGGAATTAACTGCTTTTTGTTCCTCAGATTGGAAGGTATTGGCAGAAATCTGGAGAAGTTCTCCTGTTGAGACAGAGACACAGGGGCTGTGTTGCTGTGTGTTCTCCATCAGCAGGGGTTCAAGGGACAGGGCTTGGGTGAATGTCACCTAAAAAGGATTGGTAGAGTAGGAGTCAGGCAAAGGGAGGCATAGGTCCTCAGGGTAAGAGGCACCATGGAAGTATGAGTTTCATGTATGTGTCACAGTCTCACTCGCAAGTGGACACACAGCTCGTGTGCTCACAAGATTTTCCTCCTAGACTCTCCTGGACTCTCTTTATGCTCAGATCTCAGTGTATACCATGTTCAGAGTTGGCTGGAACCACACCACACCACGGAACTGCCTGTGTGGTCCCTGAACCCAACATCATTCACTCCCCAGTTTTCACCCACCCCTTGGCACTTTGGTAGTCTATAGAGGAAGGTGATCTCCTGACTGACCATGAAAGGTGCCTGCTGCACCAGCCCCGTCACCTGCTGAGCTATTGGGCTCACCCAGCATGAACCAGCCTGGTGTATGTATGTGGGGGGCAGCTCTTCTGTCCTTGTGCCTGCTGGCCTCAGTGGTTATAGTCATAGAATGTTCTGAGAAGTCCTCTTACTGTCCCAGATGCCTACCTTGGGACCCTCAAGTTTGTTGGGATCCATGGAAATGGCCACCCCAGGGACTTCCTTCGCTTAGCCCCATTTAGCTTTCTAGTACTGACTAGCAAGCCCAGAAATTCAGATGACCTTGTGCTTTCTAGGCCTGGCCTGGCAGGAGTGGGGTGAGACAAATGACTCCGAATGAACCCATAGCGGTTAGGAGGACAGGAGCCTCCTGCATATCTGATATTTACATTACAATCCATAACGGTAGCAAAATTACAGTCATGAAGTAGCAACGAAAATAATTTTCTGGTTGGGGTCCTCACGCCATGAGGAGCCGTATTAAAGGGCTGCAGCATTGGGAAGGCTGAGGATCCTGACAAGTGTGTAATGACAGGCACTGCCACGGAAGTGTTCTCACTCTCATTCCAGCACCCTGAGCTCTCCCTCTGCCTCCCTCCCGGCAGTTCAACACCTGCCTTTTACTGAGATTCCATTGTCTTTTGAGAAACCGGGGATGGGATCCTACAGCAGGCAGTGTGCATTCCCACTGCTTTCATGTCCTGAAGGGCTGGTCTCCACTTCACAGTTCCCTGTCCCTAAATGCTTTTCTTCTTTGCCCTAAAGGAGGGACATGGGGAAGAGAGATGTAGAACCCTTTCTTCTTACACAGGTGGGCGGCAGGGAGAGGGTCACATGTCAGCGGAGCTAGAGAGGGCAAAGGGAGCTTGATTGCCAGGGACCCTTCCCGCAGCCCCCTTCTCTGCTGGCCGCATCTGTGACCAATCAGAACACACCTGTGAGCGCTGCGTTGGTGCACTTGTTCTCCCATTAAGTGGCAACCTTGAGTCCCATCTGCATGAACAGCAAAGGCACACAACAAAGGAAAAGACAGAAGAGCGATGTGAGGAGCCTACCAAGCATGGTGGACGCACGCACGCAAGCAGTGCCCACACATTCCATTTGCCCTGTTTTCTAGCACGGTCTCTTGTATGCCAATTGCAGCCTTCCTTTCTTCATGAACCACTGGATTGCCACCCCGCTCCCTGCCCCTGGCTTCCATGACTGAGTCTCTTGCTTCTGGCACCTTTGTGTGTGTGTGTGGGGGGGGAGCTGATCCTGACTCTGAGACTTGCCAAGCGTGATATCTCTGCACTGTCTTGGGAGTGTTAGAGAGACAGGGTGGGATTTCCCACCTGTTTCTTTCTGTTATCCTCTGTCTACAAGTGTGGTGTTACCTTGTTAGTTCTTCAGGGACCTTTGAACAATGCCCGCACAACCTGGACATTTTCTCTTCAGCTATAGATTTTTATCATTCCTTTCCTTCTCCATCTCTTTATTTCTTTTTGTGTGTGACATATATGTGGCTGTGTCTTTATGTGTACATGTTTTGCAGTTGCCCATGTATGTATGTGTGCATGTGTTTGGAAGGCAGAGATTGACATTGTATCATTGTATCTTTCTCAGCCATTCACCGTTTTTTTGTTTCCCTAACCCTTCTCAAAACACTAGAGTTATGGATGTGACACTCACACTGTGCTCGGGTTTCCATGGGTATTGATTGGGGATCTGAAATGAAGACCTCTTACTTGAGCATCCAGCATCGAGCACTGAATGGGCTTAACTGTCATCCCAGCCCCAGATCCAGAACTCTTCAGAGCTGAGCTCCTAATAAAGATACCATGAAAAGTTCATTTCCTTGTTCTGTCCAGCTTTCAAAGGGCACTTACATCCCTTCCACCCTCCATTCCTGGAAAGATGGATCCAAAGCTTTCATATGCAAAAGTTAGCAGGCTGTCCATGCTGCTCTCTGCCAGCTCCTTCCCTTAGTTAGTGGTTTCCCACAGACTCCACAGACTGTCCTTACTATGCACTTTTTCTATCACTGAACACCACACCGCAGTGGTGCCCTAGTTTATTGGACTGTTCTCCACAGATAGGGAGTTAGGTGTCTCTGAACTTTTGTTGTTACAGAAGTGTTATGAGGAGTCTTTTCTTTTTCTGTGTGAATGGAGAGACCTGTGGGCATACCCTAGATGCAGCATTCAGGGAATGGAGGTGTTGGTCATTTTGTTAGGTTTTCTCATAGCACCTTTTTAGGCATGTTCACTATTGTGTTCACACAATTCCTTTGCGGCCTTCCGAGAGGGAGTGAGGGTCAGATTAATTGTCAGTTAATCCATTGATACAGACTATGACTAGCATCTCTCCATGCTTTCTTTGTCCTGATCATGGAGGTCTTTTGGGGGCACACTAGAAAAACACGAATGGAGCCCGTGGCCATCCATCTGCATCTGTGACACTACACTTTTCACAAATGATGTATCCAAGGGAGGCTGAAGGGCTTTTTGTCTGCTTTTGTGTGGCTATCTTCCAGAATCTGGGCTTGGACTCTTCACACAGGATCATAGGTCCTGTTGTAACTGAAACTGGGGTGGGGTCATTAAGCAGGCCCTGTCCTCAGAGAACCAGAGCTGGACATGCCACCAAACACCATGGGTTACACCTTGGTTGCTGAACTGACTACATAAATGCAGCTAAGATGAAAGGGTGGAAGAAGACATCACCGGCCACCAGCAAGGAGAGCAAGGTGGCCATTTCCAGAGGGATGCTGTCCCTGAACAAAGGAGAGGTGAGGACTAGGTTAGGGAAGCCTGTGCATACTCAGACAGCAGGTGCTTTAGGGGGGAGACATCCCTGCACATGTCTAGTTTGTCAAATACAGTTTTAGTTGCAAACAAAGGAAGTGGCACTTTGAAATACAGCAGCACAGAGATCCATCCCTTGCTTAGTTACTAACAAGTTCCCTGTGAGACATCTCATTTCCCATTCTTGAGAGGGTAAGGGATAGAGGTCATGTCTTTTCTGATGGATGAGGGTGCCACACCTATCTAGTTAGAAGACTAAAACTCTCTTTTTGCAAAAACAAGATAGGTTTTAGGATTGCCTTGGACAGTCTAACACTGCAGCTTGAGTGAATACATGCATATATGATGGTTTTGTTAAACTAATTTAAAAGTGACATAAATCATAAATCAACAAGCTTCAGATTTGTCATTTATGTAGCTCCCAAATATATGTTATCCTAGGAATCCAGGCAAAACCATGGTTAAGCAATCAGGTCAGCTAAAAGATTAAGAGGAAATAAATATTTCCTGTAGTCTCAGTCTACAGTAATATTGAATGTGACTGGAAGTTCTTGGTTAGAACACAATGTGCCTACACCCATGTTGTGCCCAAGCTATGCCAGAAACATAGAGGAACATGTTTGTATCTTTGTATAAGGATTTATTGAAGAATATTAAATTCAAAAGGTTCAGTGCTTTCAATGACAGCAATTTGTCATATAATCCTACTTGTCTTGGAAACCCAGCTAAGCCAAATGCAAGTTCTTTTGTCCCAATCTTTTTTTTTTTGTCCCAATCTTAATTACCAGCATCAAGTCTCATAACACACACACACACACACACACACACACACACACACACACACACAGAGAGAGAGAGAGAGAGAGAGAGAGAGAGAGAGAGAGAGAGAGAGGAGAGAGAGGGAGAGAGAGAGAGAGTTCAAGAAGTGAGCTGAGGAGTCTATCGATAAGACAAGGAACCAGACCTGTGCTGGGAGGGAGCAGCTGCAGGCGCTGCTGGAGTCAGGGCTTGAGAGAAGACGAGCTTAACAGCAAGGGGAAAGGCCAAGTTGTGGTCAAGAGCAGGAAATGCTGGGTTCAGGTTCAGGTCCAGTTTCAAATGAGTAAACAGATAGGCAGTCGAGCAGTCTGTGTCACCAGTAGGGGACTAAGCAGATCCAAAGTTCCAAGGACGGTGAGGAGTCCTCTTGTCAGTCCTTGATGCACACATATTCAAAGTGTCAGATAGATGATAGATTAGTGTGGGGCCACACCGTTGCAGTACTAGGTTCCCATCACTGTAAGGGGCATCATACCCTCTCCTTGGTTTGACGTGTTCAATAAATTCAAGGGTCTGGTTTCTCTGATATGGTTTTAATTGCTCATGTGTTCATTTCTCAGTTCACCCCAGTGAATTAACAGGGTGGTTATCCTTCTACTCCTAGTAATAAGTAATTGATCAGCCTGACAGAGGGTGAAGTTTCTGGGCCAACTCATCCTTCTTCCTCAAAATGGAGTCAAAGCCGCTTGTGAAGGGGAATTTCTCAGGACAGGGCTCACCCTGAAAAACTACTCTTTTATATAATGTGCAATAACAAAGTAGCTCCCAGCCTGGTCTCAATACAGAGGAGTTAAGCTGTATAAATAAACAGACAAACTATGAGAACAGGGCAAAAGGCTCAGTTACTGCTCTGGCTTTTACCATGGCTTCTTGTGCTTCGGATGGAAGTTGAGGGGCCCAGATGAGAGGAGCCTGGGCACAGGCGGCAGTTGCCCCACGTAGATAGGGTGTGGCAGGGGGACCCCCACATCAAACTCGTGACATTGTCCCTGATTTCCAAGAACATGACAACACGGGGTTCTTTTTTTTTTTTTTTTTTTAGTTGTTTTGTTTTTGTTTTTTGTTTTTCAAGACAGGATTTCACTGTGGTCAACTCTGTAGACCAGGTTGGCCTGGAAATCACAGAGATCTGCCTGCTTCTGCCTCCTAAGTGCTGGGATTAAAGGTGTGGGCCACCACCGCCTGGCTTTTAATTATTTTTTAATTTAAATTAAAAACAATCTTATTTTACACACCAATCCCAGTTCCCTCTCCCTCCTGTCCTTCCACAGTCTCCCCAACCCAGCCCCCATCCACTCCTCTGACAGGGTGAGGCCTCCCATGGGGATCATCAAAGTCTGTCACATCATTTGGGGCAGGACCTAGGCATTCCCCAGGTATCTAGGCTGAGAGAGTATCCCTCCAAAGCGAATAGGCTCCCAAAGCCCATTCATGCACTAGGGATAAATACTGGTTCCACTGCCAGAGGCCCCATGGACTGCCCAGGCCTCCTAACTGACACCCACATTCAGGGGGCCTGGTTTGGTCCAATGCTGGTTCCCCAGCTGTCAATCTGGGCTGATAACACAGGATTCTTGAAAGGATGTCTTTTTCCTTTATCTGGAAAATCCAGGACATCCTTCTTGGGCAGCAGCATCTCAGTGAGGAATGTAGAGTTTTTGGCCAAAGTTGGTATTGTGGATGGCTGCAACCCCATCTCCTTCCTGGTCACCCACAGCTCCTCAAGCACTTATCCCTATTCACCTCTGCTAGTCCCCTTCCCAATGAGCCCACCTTCTATCACGTCTTTTTCTTTTTCTTTTGGCCCAGTAGCTTCATTAGGGTTGCTTACTTGAGCATGGGTGAAGGTTTGTATATATGAGTGTCAGCAACTTGCCAGAGGCTACACCACTGGAAAAAATGACCATTCCTCCCCCACCAGCCATTAATTCCTCGTAAACTCTTAGGGAGGGACGGTGCCAAATGAGTTCCTCCTCTTCCAGGAAAGAGTGTTGATAGACTAGTCTTAGGGAGACCTCAACTTCACTTGCAGACTTGTTTTAAGAGGGGTTTTAGGTTCATAGAAAAATTGAGCAGGAGCTGTAGTGTACTGCCCTCATGTCCCCTGTGTCTCCACCACTATCAGCACCCATCAGTGCTGGTCATGTGTGACAACTGTTAAGTGATAGGGATACCTCATTACCACCCCAAACCCATGAGTTCATGCTTGGCTGAAGGGACCAGCTCCCCATTTCGGCAGCCATAACAGCAGAACACATATTTGTCTGACCTTGTCTTAGTCACTAAGGTCAGATGCCTGCCCCTTTCGGCAGCCATGACAGTATCACGTGCTTTTCTGACCTTGCCTTGGTCACTAGAGGTTAGGTGTTTGCCTTGTGGCAAGGAAGCAATCCGAAGTTAGCTGGTGGTGGTATGCTTTACGGCTCTGGGTGTGCTTTATAGACAAGAGCACAGCAACCATTCTAGGAGGGCCTATGGGCCATAACAACCAGTTAGCCAATCAACACAGGGCAAGCCCTCCAAGCCTGGAGGCACACCAATCCTGAGCCTGTGTGTACCCCTAGACACTCCCCTTATGCTGCCCTCGAAATTTCTATGCAGCCCTTCTACCTGTCTTTGCTAGCCATCCGCCATGGCGGGTGGGTGAAAGACCCGAGCTAACATGGGGTTAGCTCGTTAAATAACAATAAAGCCTCATGCAGTTTGCAGCAAGCTTTCGAATCTGCCTGGTTATTGGGGGTGACCGAAGGCCTGGGCTGAGACCCCAGAGGCCTGAATTTTCCGGAGGTCTAACATGGCGAGCATCCTGAGGGTTATAAAAAGCACTTGATGACATTGCAGTGGTAACTGCAATGACAGAGTGTTCTCACCTCTCCCCAGATCTTCCCTAGTCTCCATGTTACTCCCAATTCCTGCACTCCAGCCTTTCCCAAGCACTGAATGTTCACTGTCTTTTTAGAAGGATAGAGTATGATCCTTCAGTAGTTAGCATGTATCTCTGTGTCATGTCCTTTATAGCTGGCCTCCTACATTGCAATCTCACCCCCAAATGTTTCAGCTTTGCTTAGAAGGAAAGGGATAGATAAGAGATGTTTAGACTACTCCCTTATGACATACTGTGGTTTACTGATTAGGGAGGTCTTTTTGGTGTGTGGTGGACAAACATGAATGGAGCCCATGGCCACTGATCTGAGTATGTAGTTCACACACTCTCCAGGCCGAGAAAGCAGTATACAATGGAGGAAGCTAAAGGATTTGCTGTTTGTATTTGTGGGGATCTGGGATTACTAGGCAAGGTCTTGGGCTAGACTCTTCACATAGGAGGTAAGTCCCACTGTAGCTGAAAGGAGGGGGCATCTTCCAGGCTTCTCTCCTCAGGGATACAAAGTCTCAAGGAGTTGTGGCCATTGTCATGGTTTTCTGTGAGGTACCATGGGGTCAGAGCAACAGGCCCACAGTGTTCCCAAGTGTGTCCTTGCTTAGGGTATCTTCAGAATGGGAGATATTCAGGAAGCCCATTGCGACATAGGCCAACACATCCTATGTGGGGAAGACAAAGACTTCAGGGATCAAGTGCAATGCTGGATACAGCCTGCCTGAAGTCACTCTGCCTTTGGAGAGTTTTCACATATACCTAAACTTCCTGAGATGTCCCCAGCTTCTTTTACAAGACATAGGCCCAACTGTATTGACAGATGGACTTGAACACCATCCACAATCTTGGGAAAAGATCTATGAAGAGGCTAGTGACAAGGTCAGAGAGTTATGGGGTCACTGAACTAAAAACTTGTTTTTAATGTTTTAAATGAAGTCCTCAAATGCCACAGGGAGATTCTGAGGTTGTTCTGGTTATAGAGGCTGCTACTACACCACTCTGACTCCTTGTGCTGGATCACTGCCATCAGGTACCTTCATGTTGAAAACAAACCAGGAGAGCTCTGGTGATGGCAGATGTCTTCACTCTGGAGTTGTCTCTGAACCCTTCCCAAGGAACACCCTCAGGTTCAAGAATGGGGAAGTTGTTGTTTCCCTACAGTGAGCATTGCATCCTGGGAGTCTGTAAGTCTATCACTATCTGAGGTCCAGGAACCCCATGAGCCCCTCTTCTTGCCCTCAGAGTGCATGAGAATGCATAGCCAGATGCAAACAGACACAGAACTTCAAGGACACAATCACACAATCAACTGGGTGAGTCCCTAGCCCTCTTCCTCACTCTCCATGGAACTCCTTACCTCATGTGGTGGCTGCAATGAGAAATATCTCCTACAGTCTTGACCATTTGAAGACTTAGTGCCCAGTTGGTGGTACTATTTGGGTGAAATTTAGGAGGCGTGGCCTTGCTGGAAGAAGTACATCCTTAAGGGGTGGAGTTTGAGAGCTCAAGGTTCACCCTACTTTCCATTTGCTCTCTCTACTTGGTGCTTATAGCTAAAGATGTGTGCTTCAGATTCCTGTTCCTGTCACCATGCCTCCCACTTGATGCTATACCTCCTTGCCATGATGGACTCAGTCCTCTGGAAAACCAGGAGGCTAAATAAATGCTTCTGTAAGTTGCTTTGGTCATGGTGTCTTATCATAGCAATAGAAAAGCTATCACCCACTCTAGTGATAACACTCTGATCCTCACAAGCTGGTGGCAGCATGGGCTTGATCTTGAGGTAGACCTGAGGCTATAGCTGTGTCTTTGGCTCCAGAGGTTATTCTGAGGGCTGCTAAAGACGAAGTTCTTCAGAAGAGTCTTTCTGTGGTAAGGGTGACCTGGCACTCCATGGAGTGTTGGGTCTGCTCAACTGTGAACTGGGCTAGGTGGTGTTTATGTCTCCTCAAGCGTGGGTGAAGTTTTCTTTTTCCTGCTGATCTTCAGAATCTGGAGGTCATTTTTTGTGTTTGTGATTGAAGGTGTGAGGAGAATGGTGGGAATCTAAGCTAATTTTGGAACCTTTGCCCTGGGATCTAAAACATAGACCACATCCACAGCCACCTACCATGAAGCAGTGCTGGGTGCAGTCACCAGGCTAGAAGTGGGGTCAGGGAGGGTAGGCAGATGAAATATCAGAGAGGCTATGACGGACTAGCATGGGTCCGTCATGGCAACTATGGCAGTTTCAGTAGCTGTAGGCTGTTCTCTGGAGAGCTGTGATACATTCTATTTCCCTCTGTTTTTAACTTTTGGTTTTCCTAGACAGGGTTTCTTTGTAGCTCTGGCTGTCCTTGAACTCACTCTGTAGACCAGGCTGGCCTTGAACTAATGGAG